TAATCCTTCGTTGGATAGTTGATTGTTGGGGCGTGTCTGCTTCCTTGTATACTGGGGCGACTTCCTGGTGCCAGCCAGTACTAGTTTTCGAAGGGCCTTACCCGCGGGTCCAGAGCAGTAGGGGCCCTCATGGTCGGTCTTGTGGATGATTTCAGCACTATGAACTTATTTCAGAATACAGGACTGACTCTCTGTTTCCTGCTTGAACTATATATGGAAGGGGCAAACCGCTGTAACTTGTGCGTGTTTCTGCTAAGTTTTCCGCACTGTTGCATTCTCAAAGCCATTCTTTCGTAAAACCGTCATAAGAATGCTTGAGACTGGCATAAGATCATTCTCAGCAGCACCAGCATTCTTAAGCCGTTCTTAGCATTATTAGCGTTCTCAGGAACGTTCTTTAGCACGCTTCCATTTTGGTAGGGGGACACAGTGATGCTAAATGGAATGTCTTCACAATATACGGCTAAAGTAATTTAGCCAAACAATTTAGTGGCTCCTGTATTTCAATTTCGATTTGTGTGTACGGTCATCGTACCTATCTATGAGTAATTTTTAGCATTACTCATACTACATTCTCATCTTAGATATCTCAGTATTAATTTCATTTTGGCTCATGCCAGGTTACCGACATCGGTTACCGATTACTGGGGACGGTTAACGGATAACGGTTCGCCCGGTAATCCTACCGACCGGTTACCGATCTCGTTAACTGGACCCGTTAGGTCGGAACCGGGCCGGAACCGGCCTGGAGTATGCCATAGGGACAACGTTGATGCCGAAGACGCTGGATGAGCTCGAGAACAACCTGTTGGGCGTCGAGACCGTTATCGACGAACGAGCATCAACGAGCGTACCGCCCAACACCCTCTTCGCCGGCAAGGGCGATCAAGATAGGGGTAACGAGCGCGGCGGTGGTAGCGGCCGCGGTGGAGGCTACAGGCGTGGAAACAAGTACGGCGGCGGTAACGGCGTTAGGTGTTTCAACTGCAAGGAAATCGGTCACCGCGCCAAGGAATGCCCCAAGCCTAAGAAGGAGTGCGCGAAGTGTCATCTGTTGGGTCATACTGCCGAAGAGTGTAGGAACAGACGTCGCCGTGGTGGAGATGGAGGCGCTGGAAACGACGGCGGATATGCCACCGCCGTGGTTGAGCGCCCGCTGTTCATGCTGGAGCTGGGGGATTCACCATCGCGTACGGTGGCGGCAGAATTGTCTGAGCTAGAATCCACTCCGGCGTTTACTGTGTCACCGTCGGCTGCGTCGGGCAGTACGGAGACGTCAGGGCCACAGCTGCGGGAGCTAGACGCTACCTGGTACCTGGACTCTGGCGCTATCTACCATGTCACGCCGGACGCACGGTCACTAAGGGACTACAAACCTTGTGACCCGATTCCGCTGAAGTGTGGCGGAGGTGAGGTGCACTACGCGGTTGGTTATGGGGACCTGTTGGTAGAAGTTGTGAAGGAACAAACTGACTGTTATTCATTCCACATCGGGAATAACTACTACTACCATAAGCAGAAGGGCCCAGTAGTAATCAAGATTAGAAACGTGTACTACGTGCCTGGGTTCAAGTTTCGGCTCTTGTCGCTTAAACAGCTGACGAATGATGGTGCGCAGTTTTCGGGCTCTGGGACGAGCATGGATGTTTGGAATTCCCGGGAACGATGGTCTTTATATGCACATTGCAAGTATTCTGTTTATTCCGTCAAAGTCAAGGAGAAGCTGCCGAGAATGCAGGCTGGTGGACCGGTTGTGTCAGTACATCTTGTAGCAGATTGCGCACGACTGTGGCATTCACGCTTTGGCCACCTGAGCTACGGTAACTTGGCGCGACTGGCTGACGAAGAGATGGTCGCTGGCCTTGACGTGACACCGAAGAAGTTCCGAGAGGTTGGTGCGGCGGTGTGTGAAGGGTGCGTAATAGGCAAGCATTCTAGGAAACCCTTTCCGGAGTCACACTCCAGTGTGGGCCGGGCTCTAGAACGAGTCCATATGGACCTCGCAGGGCCGATGTCTGTAGAGTCCTATGGGGGAAATAGCTATGTCGCCACTTTTCTGGACGAGTACACCGGGCTTTTGGTAGTGTCGTTCTTGAAGCTGAAGAGTGAGGCAATAGCTGTCGTTAAGTCCGTGCTGACCCTGTTGGAAAACCAGTGTGGACAGAAGGTAAAGGAGGTACGCACGGATCGAGGAAGGGAGTATTTGAATGCTGAGCTGAGGGAGTTCTACGGTGAGCGGGGGATTGTGCATCAGACCTCTGCTCCTTACA